AAGAGGAAGGACTCTTGCTAAAATGCTCAATCCCTATCCAGAAAGGCAAAGAGGATGGACATCAGAAGAAGGAGAAAAGAGGGAACAAGACAGGAGCCTGACACAGACGACCTCTGAAAGGCTCTGCCCTGCAGAGTATCAAAGCAGATGCTGAGACTTATGGCCAACTGTTGGGCAGAGTGCAGGAAATCTTAAGAAAGAAGTGGGAAACAGTAAGATCTGGAGAGGACAGGAACTGCACAAGGAGACAAAAGAACCAAAAAATCTGAGCACAGGGGTCTTTCTTGAGACTGATACTCCAACCAAGGACCATGCATGGAGATAACCTAAGACCCCTGCACAGATGTAGCTCATTGCAGTTCAGTGTCCAAGTGAGTTCCATAGTAATAGGAACAGGGACTGTCTCTGACATGAAATGATTGGCCTGCTCTTTAATTACCTCCCCCTAAGGAGGAAGCAGCCTTACAAGGCCACAGAAGAAGACAATGCAGCCACTCCTGATGAGACCTAATTGACTAGGATCAGAAGGAAGGAAAAGAAGTCCTACCCTATCAGTGGACTTGGGGAAGGGCATGCATTCGGGGCGGGGGAGGGATTGGGATTCGAAGAGGGAGGGAACCACAGCAGGGATACAAAGTGAATAAAGTGTAATTAATAAAGAATTAAAAAAAAAAACACTTCCAACAACAAAAAAAAGATATTTACAAACCTGGTTCATCATAGTCTTGGTGTGTTACTTCCTCTGCAAAAACAATAAATAAATAAAAATAAAAATAAGATTTAAGACAAAATAAATATTAAACAAAATATTAAAGCTTATAGCTAAAGAAAAAAAGAAACAAACAAATATTAAAAATATTATGTTAAACACAGATTCCTAATTAATATTGAGATTACAAATGTGTCTCTGCCCAAAAGGAATGAATGTAATACAAAGAAATTTTGTTTTCATAAATATTCTTACTAATAATCTATAAGACGTTAGCAATGGGAGTTAGCAGCCTGCTTTGCCACAGTGGTGTTGCCAGTAGATGAGACAGAGGCATGTAATATTCTTTTAATAAACTAACGTTGGTATAGGAGAAAAAGTCCTTCAAAGTTGCATCTCTAGTCTTTGAAAGAAAAAGCCACCAAATAAAGACAGTAACAGATGACTTAGGAGTGAATGTCAATGCTCATCAAGTACCTGTGCCTGGCTGCAGCCCGTCAGCCTCTGTTACTGCCTCACCGGGATCTAAAAGAAAAAAGGGAAAGGAGTTGACAATTAACAAACAGCATACACATCACAGACGCCACTCTCAAAGAGTCACAATTGACTCTAACCTGCAGCATCTTGTAAGATAGATACTATGGTGGTTTCAATATAAAATGTCCCCAAAGGCTCCTGTGTTGGAGGCTTTGACCCCAGTCAGTGGCACTATTCAGAGGTGAATGAATCATAAAGTATTAACCTCACCAGTGGATTAATCCATCAATGAATTCATAGTTGAATGGCGTGTTAGGAGGTGGGGACTTATTGGAGAAAATAGGTCATTGTGTCACTGGAGGGTTTGTCTTTGAATATACCTTGATCTCCCTGACCAGGCTTTTTGGAGGAGCCTCGCTCTGCTCCTGCATCAGCTCTGCGTAATATTCTGCTTTGCCTCAGGTTCAAAGCAGTGGAGCCAGTAAACCCCAAGTGAAATATATGGTTCTGGGCTGGGAAGTAGCCCATCAGTAGAGTGCTTGCCTAGAATTTAGGTGGCCCTGGGTTCAAAGCCCAGTATCACCAAAAAGAAAAAACAATAACAATAATCTGATTCTTCGAGCTGAGAGAATTCATCCCCCCTTGGTTTGATCCTGCTATCCCACTCCAGATATATGCCTTGAAAAACGTAAGTTTGTATACAATGAGACACCTGTACATCTATGTCTGCTGTGACCCTATTTACAAGCGCTGAATCATGGAATCAGCCTGGGTGTCCTTCAGCAAATGAACAGATATAGACAATGTGGTATGAATAAAAACATGTTTTACTTAGCCATAAAGAAAAAAAACTATGTCATGTAAATGGATTGAACTGAAGATCAAGTTAAGTGAAGTAAACTAGAATCAGAAAGACAAATGTTTTCTTTCCTATAAAAACTCTGTGTGTGTGTGTGTGTGTGTGTGTGTGTGTGTGTGTTGTTTTTTCAAGACAGGGTTTCTCTGTGTAGCCTTGGCTGTCCTAGACTCACTTTGTAGATCAGGCTGGCCTCAAACTCACAGAGATCCCCCTGCCTCTGCCACCCAGAGTGCTGGGATTAAAGGCGTGCACCACCACACCCATCTGAACACTATATTTTAAAAAGGGCAGGAGAAGAAGGGGAGGGAAAGCAAAAGAAAAAAAAAAAAAAGACAAAACACAATAGTGGAAGTGGAACTATTTAAGAAAATGAAGAGACTCAGAATGATGGGGGAAGCTGGAGAAGCTACATGGCAGGATGATTGTAAATATATAATGTACACGATATAAATGTATGAAAAGATTATAACGAAAGCCTTTCTGTTAATAAAACTAAAATCTTTTGTCCTCTCTCAGGTATTTTGCCACAGCAATAAAAACTAATGCATGCACTACTCTTCTCGTTTAATAAAATTTAACATATAACAAGTCCCACAACTTGGTGTCTAGTTACAAAGACAGTAAAGAACAGACTAAGGTCTGCACCCCCTCCTGACTCTACGGCATCACACTCTCTTCCATTTCCAGTATCCCTTAGAACAAAAAATAATCTCAGTGGTGGTTGAACAAAGGCACCCTTTTCTCTTCATTTACCTTGTAAAGTATCTGTGTAAAACTCTGTCATCTGGGGAATACAAACGACTGCAAGTATTACAAGACCTCTGTGGGAGACCAGAGGAAACCATTTACCCTGACTTGAACCTTTTCTATTTACAACTCCCAACAGAAATCTACATTGGTAATTTTGATATTTGCAAACCTGAGTTTTCCAGTTCATTCATCAGCTCTTCCACATCGTTTGGGTGGTCTTGCGATGCTACAAATTAAGAAAGAGGAAATGTAAAATGTCTCAAATAAGGCTTTTACATGACACAAATAAGGCTTATAAATGACACCTAAAGTCAGAAAGTCACAAGTCCTATGATCTACCATGTTCACCGAGAGAACAAACATGCATGAACTCTACCTAATGCCAAATACAAAGATAAGGCAGCTTTCAACATATAATCCAGGCACAAAGCAGCAGAGGTGTGTTCTCATGTGGCACATGCCCACACACGAGGGCAGAGCACCACAGGACAGCGCAGTCAGTCCTGCTCCTTCTGTGAAGAGCACCGGCTGCCCGGGGCCTCTACCCGACTGACTGGATCCAACTCTAACAGTTTCAGTGTTTGCAGAAGTGATTCCCACCCTAAAGGCCACGCAACACTACCAAGAAGGGAGGCTTAAATTCAGTAGAGTCATTTTCTCTGATACTACGAAAACGGGCCCACACAGGCTCTGTGAATCCATCTTGAACACAGCCACGCTTTCTGGGGGCCCGTGACATGCAAGAGAACACGACAGAGATATTTCACTGACTTCACAATGTAAGGCTATAAATCATGCATGTGTGTCGTTTTGTTTTGTTTCTTTCTCTTTCTCTTGTTTTGTCTGAGACAGGTCTTACTTTACAGTCCCAGCTGGTCTCAAAACAGCGGCAATTCTCTTCCCTCTGCCGGATGCTGGAATTATAGGTGTGAGGCACCATGCCCAGCTTGTTTTTCTTGTTGTTAATGCTGTTTTGTATGTGTGTGTGTGTGTGTATGTGTGTGTGTGTGCATGTGTGTGTATTTTGACAAGGTCTCACTATATAACCGAAGGGAGTTTTGTGTATTCCTTTCCTGCATCCACTTTTCTAGTGTAAAATTATAGGTACCAAATGCAGTTTCCTAATGTAGACAGAATAATTATACTACTTGAGGGTTATATTCAGGAAATGAATATATATACACATAACATTATTAGCTATATGTCATATGATACATTAGATATTTTAAAATTGTTAGTAAGTAGTATTTTATTTATTATCTCATGATGCAGTTAGAAGCAGGCTCACTTTAATTAATAAAGACTAATAACATCTCACCTGCCTCTTCCATATGGTAACTATCTTCAGCCTCTGAAAAAAAAAAAAACAAAAAACAACATTGGGTTGATATTACCACTCTCACACATGCTATACATATAGGCTGTATATCTATATGTCTATTTTGAAAGCTAATTCAAACACGTATCGTTCATTTTACTATAAAAGAATCAAAATAAACCATCGAAATATCACGTCTGTATGATTTTATCACTATACTTCATACCACATGATCTCATACGTTCTCTTGCCAACAGTTCTACAGTGTTGACGCACACCAAAATCTGGGATAAAGAGCGAAGGCAATTCACGTGGTGACCCGCAGGGACAAAGGAATGTTTGTTCGCTGAACGCAGGAATGGTGCCAATTGCTAACGCATTTCACATTCCTTTGTGGCATTCTGTTTATTAGCTTTGTCCCACTGTTTTCTAGAGTGAAAATTCACATCTACAGGTGAAAACACGAAACGAGAATGGAAGCGAGCTGGCACGTTTGCAAAGCTAAAAGGATAGGCCTTTGTCTTTTTTAATTGGTTGGTTGGTTTTGTTATTTTGCTTTCAGACAAGGTGGCAACGGCTGGTGTGGACCTTTCTACAGGGACCGGGCTGGCTTACAACTCAGAAATCCACTTGCCTCTGCCTCCTGAGGGCTGGGATTAAAAGCCTGTACCACCACACCTGGCTAAGATTTGTTTTTGAAACAGGGTCTCACCATCCAGCCTGGCTTCCAACTCATCGATTGGAAGCACCACACCTGCTCAGAAAATGTCTGGGTCACTGAGCTCATATACTCAATATATGAGTATGCAAATGCCACCATTTGATGGTCACACTGCGACCTTTGTGTATTTTATTCAGATATTTTTTGACAATTTTGTACATATACAGAATGTGTTCTGATCACATTTGCCCTCCATCACCTTTTCTTCATCCCCTCAACTCCCTCTGGATCCCTTCTTTCCAAAAAAATCCACCCCACACTTCCTTAACTGTTTTTTTCATGATTTAACCTTTCTATATTTTACTAAACAGATATAGGAGGTGGAAATATTTTTAATCTCTAAAGACTTTCAATGATAAAATTTTTTTCCTTCAAGATTTAATCAGCTTTATCAAGGATTATATTAGAAAACAGGGTTTCTTTGACTTGGACTTCTTAGAAGCGCTTCTCCCTGCCCAAAGCTGAACCTCCTAACCTTATTGATAATAATCCTCCCTGCTTCAAACGATATCAGATCCATGTAGATTGCAATTTGCTGGATAAGCGGTACCTCAGTGAAAACTGTGAGTCCCTGTAAACCATGCTGAGCCATGACAAGAGAGCTAAGCATAGCACCATGGAAATGAGGATACCATTGCTTGTACATCTTTACTCAGGAATTAGAAACATGTTCCTACGGAAATCATGACACAAATGATGAGTTTGGAAGCTCTCACCTGTGTTCATCAACAGCTATCCTTTATGCATCATGAGCTGAAATCAGATGTAATGCCCAAAAGCACTCTGATTTGCGTTTTTGACACACAAAAATATATACGATATACATTTCTGATAGCTGGTGTGTATGCTACCCATCCCCACCATCACTTTTTCTACAGAGAATAATACCTCTTCTGCTCTAAGCAGGCTTGGATAAAGTTTCCAGAAACTCTTACACAGAAGTAGCTAGTACTGGTAAGGAAGTGTTCCAGCGTATTATGTCAGAGGTGTACATGCTTTGATGTTTTGGGACTTGCAGGTTCCACAACTACTTAGCAGCTGGTTTTGTAAGTAGAGGCTCATGGAAACACAGTCATGTTTATACATAATCAGTTACAGCTGATGATTGTCTTTGCACTGCAGTAACAGCTGAGTGTTCTAGAAGGTAGTGAATCCCCCACTAGTTGAGAACGCTCGCTCCCTGGCTATTTACAAAAGACTGTCTCGGGACATGCTGCGGGAGCCACAAATTGCACTCTGCCCAGGGTAGGGAAACAGGGTGGTTAGAACAAAGCCAGGGAGAGGGCAAGTGGGGTTTGTGACTTGAACTTCATGTGACACTTGGCACCAGATGGGGCGATACTACCAAAGCATCACACTCATATTATCAGAAATCCACTTACCAATGAGTTCTCTTCAGGCTTTGAAACGAATCAGGTTTGCTCTAGAGAAAAATTCATTCACTTTGAAGCACTAAGCTTCATGCTCAGAATATTTAAATAAAATTTAATATTGCTCTTAAAGGAATTTTAGAAAAGTTTTAATGATTACACTATAAACTATCAACTATTTTAAAACAAATGTGTTCTACCTTCATGAACCGTCCCCGGTTCCAGGGCCTCGAATGTGTCCTCTCTGTCAATCACTGTGAGGAAGTCCTCAACCTCGGGCTGTGGCTCTCCTCCTGGCCCGTCTGCTTCGAGCTGCAGGTCTTCAGCAAGGAGAAATAGAGTGGTCAAGGGGGACAGTGAGAGCCACAGCAGCGGCCAACCTAGACAGGCCCATCTGCAGCCACCCCACAAGACTCTGCCGTTGTCCCCTCTAAAGCTAGTTTCTCACTCTGTCCAATGCCACTCTTGTCTGAAAGTCGCTTCTCATTATGGTGTGAACTCATGGAGGACAGGCACCTCATAACGAGGCTCATGCCGCATACAAAGCAGGCAGAACCATGACTAGCCAATGGAGATGCTCCTAGATATGAGGAATGAGTGAGTGAATTCATTATTAATACACACATCTCTTTTATAACCCCCGAGTCAGAGAAAAAAAAGTCACATCAAGCCCTTTTATTGAGAATTGTCACATTCCACGTAGCAACTGTAATTGACAACTCAAATGTTTTAATGTGGAGAGCAGCTGGTTGCCTCATAACTCACATTGCTACACCCCAGATACTGACCTGGGCTCCTGAACTGACCTGGGCTTGGCTTTTTAGTTAGCAGAGATATGAAGTTCTTTGCTGAATTGTTTAGGATATACTAAGTGAATATGCTACAGTATTCCATTTCCATATAGTTTGGACTGTGACCCTGCCCTCAAATTACCGCACAACAATCTGCATGGCTTCTAGCAGATTACTTTTTGTAAAGACTGTCCCAGTTGAAGAGCATGAATGAGCTGGACTCGTCTGTATTTGGGAATCTGGAGTCTCAGAAAGCAGGTTCTAGGTTTAGGGTCTACACCAGTTGTTTGAGTGTAGACAAATTACCTACTCCATGCCTGAGATTGCCTTCCATGAAACTGGAATAAAATTATCTATTTATATCACTGATAAGAGGATGAAAATACTTAGAAATATGCCTGGTTCATCATAAGTATCTAGCTGTGGTCATTAGCATTATAATTACTATAGAAACAACATGATTCTTTTTACTGCTATTGATCTACCCCCATGACCACAGGAAGTCCTCTTTGGTTATTCTGCATCGTGTGGCATGGTGATGCCTGGTCTCACTGAGTCATATAGACCGCTTGGTGTAGAGGCTTTTATAGAAGTCACCCCTTATCTGCAGTTTTGTTTTCTGCAAAATTTCATTAGTCTGGGGCCAACCACAATATGAAACCAGGAATAAACAGTTCCTAAGTTTTGAAATGTGTGCAATTCCATCCTCACCTCTCTCCATCCTACCTGGGATATGAACCACCCTTCAGTCCAGGCTCATCAACACTGTAAACTCAACCTGCCCCACTAGTCACCTAGCAACTGTGTATCATCAGATTTAGTGGCAGTTTCAGTATTTATGGTACAAGCACCCTTACTTAATTTAACAGCTCCAAAGACAATAGTGATGTTGGTTATGCCACGGAATAATACCCAAACCATGTTTTTTATAATTGATTTTTTAAAAGAAAGAAAAGACATGTGAAGTAGCTATAAAATCTTCATATTGAGAAACAAATCATGCTAACTTTGCTATTGTAGCTTTAACAGCAGAAGTTAGAGCCAGGGTATATGGTAAAGATGAGGGGGCAGGGTCCAGTCATAGGGCAGGGTTCCGTACTATTCTGTTCTCACAGATTCCAACGGTTCTCAGAGAGTTGTAGGAGGATTCACGGGATCTGCTTTCCACATCTTCACCACCGCCTGCTCTAGAGTTTCTCCTTCTTTCAGATCCGCTCCTTACCAAATCCCCTTGTACTGGGAACTGTGTGGCTCTCAACTGAGCACAATCCTCCCTTCATCCCCTCTAGAGCGGTTTCATGACTTGCATCACCACCAGCCAGCACCGCTCTTCAATGGACATGCCATTGTTCTCAGTACAGAAACCAATGCAAGCACTGTCCAGTGGCTTTGAGTCTACTGCTCAGCCAGTGTCGGCCAGGCATGAGGAAAGGAGAACACATTCCGGGGGCCCACCACACTAGGTACTGCCAACCCTCTGTGCTGTTGCTCTTCCCCCATATGGCTCATGCTACCATCCAACTCTGAAAGACGAGGGACTTCGCTCAAGCCACACAGCTAATACATGGCAGGTGTGGGGTAGCAATGAAGTTCATGACAGTAGGCCCAAGGAGGCCATCTCGGTGTGATGAGATGTAAAGATGGGAGAGGGATGAGAAACACACCCAAGCAGACGACACAGCAGATCACATACGATGGAATTATTACGAGACAGTCAGCTGTGCTGCGTGAAAAGGCATAACGGAGAAGGCCACGTGTGATGCAGAGTAGAGAAGATATAACAGAAACCGACCTAGACGGATGTCACTGAAGGACCATGGCAAGGGGCAACAGGCATAGCTAAAGGCACAAGAGTCAGAAGACATGTTAAAAACAACTCAGGCAGGGCTTACTGCTTAGAAGAGCGAAGAAATCAGAGCAATCTGGGGAGATTTTAGCTTGCGCCCCTACACACCTGGCATACTCATTAACGGAAGCATGAAAAGCTCAAGCAAGAGCTAACAGGGAAGGGCTAATGAGAGCTGTGAGACTTCACTGGGAAGGAGGAAAGCCTGTGCTGGGCACAGCTGCCAGCTGAGTCACCAATGGCGTACCCAAATGGAGCTGTAACAGGTACAACAAGGGCAAGCCTTTGGTGGCACCTACAGAGTAGCCACACATAACTGATGTCTGAAGCCATGTGTCATGGTCCACGGAGAAAGCCTCTCTAAGGACATAAAACAGAACCAAGAGAGCGAGGCAGGGAACGTGGCTCTCGGATAGATTCTTTCCTCTTCCGGTTCACTGTTCAGCATACACACCTTAGATACAGGGCTGTTCTGACAAGCACCCGAGGCTGTACCTTTCCACTCTTCCATACCCACCCTTGCACTCTTCCACACCCACCCACTGACCTTCTTGTGCCATTCTGACTTCATATTCCGTCTCTCTGCTGCACGCAGGTATAGAGGATGACTCCCACGGATGAAGGACAACTCCAAGACAAGCAGCCAGAGACAAGCCACTCCATGCCTACTCTCCCATTTATTCTGCCTTGAATTATTATTTATCTTCACTTAGTCCAATGGTTTTTAAATTAAATATGTCCATAAAGCTCCTTCACAGTGAGGTGGGATTTTGGAAAGTATGTCCAGTGCCACCCCTCCCCCCAGAAATAATAGATGGTCCATAATTACTTGGAATGTAAATATAGAAACCCAACTGCTTTAGTATCTTGTGTAAAACAGAATTGAATTCATACCATGTTCTGTGTATAATGATTCCTGGAGAAGGGACTGAATTTGTTCTTTTACTTCATCTTCAACATTCTGGACTTCTAAAATAATTACAAAGCATAAATAAATAAAATAACACCCAAGTATTAATGGGAAATTCCAATACTTAAATATGGCATTTGCACACATATTAAAATGACTGCATCTGGCTGAGATGCTCTGCATTCTTTCTATCCATATGCCACTAACTCCCCTACATTGGTCACCACACTAGATACTTCAAATTGGCCTTATTTGCTCAGTAGGTGTAAACATCAAGAGACTTTCAAAAGACTTTTAAAGAAAGAAACTAATCCAGGCGTACATTTTTCTTCTAAAAGGAACTTTCTCTAAGAGCAAATGCTTTCAGTTTCTAATTAATAAAAATCCTCATTCGTGTTAGAAGAAAGCAAGGACAAGCTTTCCATAAGGAGGGGTGCTGGAAATGACCAAACACAATGCACAGGAAGCAATGTGACTAACTCCTGAGCTCCTGACAGGAGGCGGGACACCACTAGAGGAGTGAGGACCAGAATAGGTGGGATTGGCTGATTCACAAATAACGAGCACCCTGTCGGCTTCAGAAAATTGTATCTGAAAGCCAGATCCCCAGGCTCCAATAGCAATGACTCAGAAAAGTGGGCATTAACGATGAGATTCTGACAACACCATAGTCCTTATCAGATTATAAGGTGGCAATACCCCCAACATTACACAATAAGCCGTTTCTACAATGACCCTGTTGCCAGTTCACTGAGTAACAGCGCTGCACTACTTCCTGAATCGTCAAGGCAGCAAGTGAGATAATGCCACTGGCAGCGGTTACAAAGCACGTAGCTTCAGAGACAGACAGAACAAATTCAACGTTCAGGCAGGGGACAAGCTTAACACGTTATGCTAATCACTTAATAAGAGTCTTCCGAAGCATAAAGATGTTTTGTTTCACTAGTGATCCAGATGGATGTCCTGATATAATCATACAGGTCCCTAATCTCTATTCTTCCATCCCTGTCCCCCAGTGTTTGTGACACCCTCTTCACTGGACCGTTCCACGGGTGCTGAGAAAAGCATCCAATGTGATCACCTGAAGATTTCTAGCCGGGGCTTGGGGAGGGCTCTGTTCTTACGCTCGGCTCCTTACTGACTCCGAGAGCCATTGGTTGAAGACTGCAAATGGGATCCTCCCGCACTTTTCCTGACTCATCTGTTCCCTGCACTCGTTCTGAGCTAGGTGCCACCCTACTTCGCAGGCTACACATCTTTCTCCTCCTTGGGAGATGGTGCAGAGCCAGAAACTGGATTACAAGAAGCCAAAGAGCGAACAGACAATAGAGTAAAAAGGTAAGTCTACGAAGTGTGTTCCTTCAGAAGTGTGGTTCCTACAGTGAAGAGAGGGGGTCGGGGAGCTGGCGGTTAGGGGGGCATCAGAGGCTTTATTTTAATGTGTGTTAGGAGAGATGAGTAGTGACATTTGTAAAGCAGGTGGGAGGAGCCAGAGAAGGAACAACGATCCAGAGCAGCAGCAGGAGAAGAGCTGAGAGAGCAGAACGCAACTGGAAAAAGGCACTGCCAAGACCTTGAGAAGAATGAGGGCTAACCCTAAAGCAGCAGGATCCGGGGCTTACAGCCACGTGTGGAGGAGCAGAACAAAAAGGCAAAATGGGAAGCACCCGGCACAGCTCACATTCCTGCACTAGCTTAAAAACTAGACTTTTGAAAATTACGAATGTATTTATTTGGTGCCAAGTAAAATATTCAATGTTACATTCAAATATTTAAACTAAAAACCTTTTTTAGAAAGTCAGTATAGATTCTGGAGCCATATACCAATTCCACAGGCATGGGAAGGAGACAGTAAAACCTCCTTGGGTTCTGAAATGTACACATAATAAAACTTGGACTTATGTATCGTTCCTTGAACGGATGAAGCAAAGAAAATCAAATAGCGTTTATTATTCACCAGCACAATTTAGGCCGCGTGTTGTTTCCAATAAAGTGTCATACCTAGAACCTCCAATAGGTGGCGGAAGGAGACCAATTTTCGGTGGTACAGAAGCTACTATTCCATAATTAACGTCACAAGCAGAAAGTAGTGGTAACAGATTAGAATTTTATGTGCCGATTTATTAAGTCAAAGTCCCTTTACGGAAAAAACATGACTTGAAGTATGAAGCCACGGGAACAGAAACAACACGACCAGGAGGTCTGCGGGGCCGTTATATAAAAAAGATGGGAGCTCTTTATTGCGGCTGGACAACGGGCAGGCTGTGTACAGTCTGCGTCTGTTTTTCCTCTGGACGTCATACAAACGGTAAGAGAGTGCAGGAATTAGAGTCAGGACACATTTGGCTTCGGCTGTTCCTGACTGCATGGTCTCGGGCAAAGCACGACCGTTTGTGGCTCAGAACCTCGACTACATAAGTGAAAACAACCCTGTACACATACGGCCACCACAGGGTCGTTTATTATGACTTTGGAAAAGAAGAGACGGGGGCTTGTTTTAGAGACAACGTGAACACGTGGGTGAGACACGACGGCTTACTGCACAGAAACCTGCAGGCCAGGCAGCCGTGCGGAGTCTTTGGGGACACTTACCTGGCCCCTCAGCTGCGTGCTCCTCCAGCTCTGCCCGTGGCTCTGCCTCTTCTGGTGAAAATGTCCTCTCTGGAGAAGATCTTTCTTTAAGTCCTGCATTTTTTTATTCACAGGGTTAACTGACGCTTCTTTAGAAGTCATTTTTACAGTTTAAAATCAGGAAAAACAATTTTCGAACATTTGGTTGGTGGTTCAAGGAACGCATACTTTCCAGTACAGGTGCTTAAACCTGAAGAAAGTTTTCTCTTTCACCTCAGTGGGTCTTCAAGTGTATCTGAGACTTTTTTTTAAAGGACATTCCTGGACATTTACAATATATAACCACTTCTAACCTTGTCAAAAGAAGTTCAGTGTGAGTCCGAGCTCCACCACTTAAAAGGATGAGTAACTCCTAAGCCAGAGCTCGGCGCCCAGCGGGGAAAAAACCCAAGACACTCAGAATTTGGACTGTGGATAGGCCAAACTTAATTCACATGTAATATTGGCATCTTCTGGGAATACTAGAGTGTTAAATAAATCACATCCAACTTACTACCTACAACCTTCTCAAAGCACCACCTAAAAGCGAGCATGTTATTTTTCTGGAGCTAAAAAGTATCAAAAGTCACTGTTTAAAACATAAGAAAAGCCAGGGAGTGGTGGCCTTTAATCCCAGCATCAGGAGGCAGAGGCAGGTGGACCTCTGTGAGTTCAAGGCCAGCCTGGTCTACAGAGTGAGTTCCAGGACAGAAAGGGCTACACAGAGAAACCCTGTCTCCCAAAACAAATAATAATAATAACAAATAAAATAAGACGGAACAACAAGTTGACATGAAAACTGACTTAAACTCACAAAAACACCAAGTTGGTGCTACATGTGGGACGTTAAAGGAATCCTTAATTAAATGCAGCTGTTTAGGATACAAAGGCATGACCAAGAGTCCGCATCTGTTAGCTGAGCCCTGGCCTTTCTGCCCTCACTGAGAACTGGGCAAGGGTGGCCGGCAGGATGGTGTGTGCACTCTGGTCCTCCGTGAAGGGTCAAGACAGCACGGCACTCTACGATGTTAAGTTTCCCTTATCTCAACTCTTTGCCTGTTCTCTTATTCTCGTTTCTGCCAGGCGCCACTTCTGTAATCTTACAGAGACACTTCAAACGCAACACACAGGACCGGCTGTCTTCTCTTCCCTCCGTTCCAACACTCTGCACACACCACCACACACAGCTGTGCTCTGCGTGGCAGTGTACTCTAACTCTAGAACAGATTTCAAACTAGTTCACCTTCTGAGCATGTGGGTAAGGATGAAAACCACCACCTCACATCTACTTGAAATGTACAACTACAGTGCTCTTTCTCACTGACATAACCCACTCTTTTACCTCTCAACTGACTGTCGGTCAGGAACCATCAATGAGTAAGTTGTGCTAAAGCCAATGAGGAAAAACTTAAAAGATTCCGTACACTCATGGAACTTGTCTTTGCATTCAGTACTCCAGCCAACTGCTGGCCACAGCCATGGCTACAGAAATGCCTGCTGTTAGAGCATGCAGTGGTGTCCACTCCGCCAGCCCAGTGCTGCAGAGGCCCACTGCAGGCCCAGGGCTTCTTAAACACAGCTGGTGGGCACAGGGATGCCGGGGAAGAAATGAGGATTGCATCAATCTTGCTCTATATAGCTCTATATTTGCACAGTGTCCACCCCTTCTGTATTACGGGTCTAGTTTCCCTGGGGCAGTTGGTTTGTGTCTGGTGTCCTGGAATAATTACACTCTCAGAAGTGTCTCCGTGTGAATGAAAGGTTACAGCCTGGCCCTTCAATAACATACATTCCACCAGCTTACCAACTTGTGAATTCAGCAATAAAAGAGTCCCCACAAATGGCAGATTCAACTGCCTGAAATCCCATTTCATTTGAAAAAGAAATAAACGCAGCTGATGTTTAAAAGCTACCAGTATAAGTTTTCAGACACAGTAGCCAAAGAGCCAGTGTTCTGCAACTCAACGAGGAGTCATTTGCCATTACAATCCGAAGGATTTTTTTTTTTTTAATGGAAAATGTAACAAGAGGAAGAAAAAATATCCAACAGGGGAAAATACTACACAGCTTCATTTCCCCCCAAACTATCAGTCCAATGACGCACTTAGGAACCACTGCTCAGCAGGATAGCCAGAGGTGACATCAGCACAAATAAGCTTTATTATAAGCTTCAAGCAGTAAAAGACCATATTTATATATATCCTTCGCTGGGCCCCTACCAGCTTTTAACCTTTAACAAAACAAGCCGTACTGAAATGGCTTTAATAAATAAATGGCTTTAATCTATGGAGAAGCACTGTCCTGGACACTTCTGCTTCACAAAACCAGAAACATAAATAACAAGTGGTCAACTGAGACTCAAAGGAAAGGGTTCCTGTTTATTTCTGCTAAAGCTTGATTCGTTTAGTGAGAAGTACAAAGGACAAAGGGTTAGGAGTGGATTTTGAAATGAGCATTTAAAGCTACATTATGAAATGTAATGTGTTTGTTGTCTAGTCCCTGCGGCTGTTTACAAGAAAACCATAATCACACTGGCCTGAGTAAGACTATTTTTTTAACCACCTAACTTAACATGTAGAGCAGATCAGGCTGGCTTGCTCTCAGCCCCCATCTTAGCCTCAGACAGAAACCCAGCCCCCAGGGGCAAGCCTCTTCCAGACAGGATGCCCAGAAGCAGAAGGACCACTGCCTGCTCTGCTCAGGAGTCTTGAGGAACTCAGCTGCTCACTGTCACTACGGAGGAGGTCTGCATGTTGCCAGGCTACAGCGATGGTCGGGTAGAACACAGAACAAAACAAAAAACAATTTCCTCACAACACCTTGATTTTTGTCCTACAGATTCATTAGACAAATTAGGAAACTTTTTAAAACTTTACATTTATGCATAGCTGTTCCTTTTGTTTTAATTAAAAATTCAAGAAGCCACCCAAAGTAAATGGAGCCAGCATTTAAACCATTCACAGCACCTTTGAACATTGGAGACAATTTCTAGGGCCCGCTATTAACTCGCTTTACTTTATTCACTGCCACCCTACACTACCTGACCAGAATGAAGGTGAAACAAGACATTTATCTCAATGAATGTGACAGGGCAGGTCCACGAGCAATCCTGCAATCCTCAGGCAACAGAAGAGCAATCTTAGAAGCCTGAGTCAATGGTGCAAGAAAAGAAGGCAGGGCTTAAACACACAAGCCCTAGCACACTACGTCTCTTCTGTGCAAGATCAAGGAATCACCTTTCCTAGGACCTGCACTGTTCCTCACTGTCCAGATGATTGGACTTAGGACTTCCAAGATCCCAAACACCAAAGATGCTCAAGTCCCTTCTAGGGAATGGAGTACTGCTTATAATCACCTAAGCTCTTCCTCCTACACACTTCCATCACCTCTAGGTTACTAACCATACCCACCACAATAGCAATTCTACATAAATTAAAAATGTAAGACTTTTAAAGAATTATTTAGCCTGCAGGGTACTAATACTATGGTGTAGAGGCCGAGGAAAATTTTGATCTTACCCCTCCATGTTTCTCTGGCTACTGTTGTGATGAGTTTGTACCGAGACAGTGGCTGCTCTCCGTGCATATGGCCTAACAATATAAATCAATACACCCCCAAGAAAAAGGCTAACAAGCACATGAAACCTGACGGACATTCCAGGAACCCGATACACCAAAATGGCATATATGCTAATCAGCCATGCCAAATCTTCTTGTTGGTCCTGCCTTGTATAATCAGTAGAAAGAGATTTTATTAAGTACACCAACAGTTTGAGAACTAGGCAAGGTTCTGACGTCACCAGAAATAAAGGCCATCCCTTGGTAATATAGGACCTCTTTATTCAAGGAATCTACCAGAACCAGGCTACACAAAATTCAGAAAGAGGAAATGTATGTCACTAAACAAATATGACAAAAAGGTTCCTAAGGGCCTGGATTCGGAGCCAGAGAAGAGACTCCACAAGGACCGCCCAGAGCGTACTCTCCTTAGCATCATGGAAACAAGTAAAAAACTAAACAGGATGCCAGCACCATGTGAGGATGACCACTGGCGCCTGAATTAAGTGGGATGCATTTGGACCTCACCTCTAACAACCGGCCCCGATAACATTTTGGGTTTCCTCCAAGAAAGAAAGCAGGCTGGGAAGAGGGAAACAGCATCCCTTAAGATTTTTAAACATAAATCACTTAAACCCAATAAAACTGTGGGGGGGGGGGCACCAATTTTCTTTTTCATTTATTCAAAAGCCATATCTCCTGCACGGCTAAAACTTGCAGGCACTGAAGATTTCTCTTTTAAAAAGCTAACATTCCTCCCTTCTAAGTCTCCAATTGTGTTAGAAGACCTAAAAAGTTTCAGCTTATTTACTGTGCAGAAAGCAAACACTGGCTATATAGACCGTTGGCTACTGGCCAGGTACTGCGCAAGTCCAACTCTGAGAGCAAAGATGAAGCAGGGGTTGGGCATGGCAGCTATGGCATGGTACCCAGCCACCCAGGTGAACCAAATACCTGTGTGCCAGCTGCTGCCCCCCCCCACGAGGGTGTTCTCGGGAGGGGGGAACATCCACAGAAGTGTTACCTGTACTTTGTTTTTCTGCCTCAGCTTCATTACTTCACAGCGTTTCCCTTTGGGCACTCCGCCCACCTCACAGCCTGACTTCCTGAAATCAGGCTCTGTCAAATCAGTGGCACACTGTGGATTCTCAGGGGTGTGTGCTGAGTGAGTCACTGAGTGAGATATACTGCTGCGGCACGTGAGTGTTCAGAAAATACCACTATCACGAATAACAAAAGCTTCAAGTAAGACCTTACAAATGTAAACCTCTCGCAGAAATTGATTCCTATGAAAAAAAATGAGGAAATAAAAAATGAAAATGTAGCTTATGTGGTTATATCCTTTGTCAAATGAAAGGGGAGGACCTGGAACCACCGTTTACCACCGAGAACTTTTTTTTTTCTTAGATTCTTCATGAGGGCTGGGGTGACAGTACACACCCATCAGCTCAGGAGGTTAAGGTTAGATCAAGAGGATAAAAGACCAAGGCCAGCCTGACGTATAGGGAGGTGACAGGT